TTTTCTCAAATATGCCATTTACTGCAAAAATTCGCCACGCATCCTGTAGTTGATTGGTACACGTTTTTAAAGCGTTATTAAGAACAGCTGTAGATTCATCTAAGTTACCGGCCGCGAATGGAAAATCCACAGCCTGAAACGTTCATCAATCAATTTACATTTCATATCGTTTGAAAAACACGCAGAAGTTGAAAATTAGGAAAATACGATTCAATAATAAATCTATTATGATGTGAGATTTTTCCAGTGGCTATTTTTGCTTGCTCAGATTTCAATACTTCCTTATCTGTGTGCTTCTTAAAATAACAGTAAAAACTCGTTCGATTTTGACAGTTCTGATTGGTTTGAAAATGTTTACGTCTTCGTCAGACCTAGCACTGAACTGTTGGACATTTTTTGATGATAATAAGGGTATGCTCATACGGTGAAACATTGCAAATTCTCTACATATTTTACGTAAGTAGTATAGTAGAATTTACATTTTCCGGTTGGGTGTAGGTGTAGATATTAAATATAAGAGCAAGAAATCACTTTAAATGAAAAATCCTGTTATCTAAATGAGAATGAAAAACATGTTTCCGTTTGAAAATCAAAATGCTACAAGATGTCAGCTTGTACGTACCATCTATACCGTACCTTCGACCAAGCGCCCACTTTAAAAGTTTCGATGCAATGGAGACGCATGGTCATTCTTTTGTTTCAGTTATGATTTAGTTCTGCGAATGCCTATCTACCGACTTAGAAATTATTACCTGACAAAATACTGTCAACCTTGTTCAAATTATCGATTCTTACCTATTGCTAAAATGCCTGATATAAATACCGAACTGTTCAGCTGTTGAATTTTCGGTAAAAATTACCCCACTAAAGGGTGGTACGGTCAAAATTTGGTCAAGGGAAAACGCGTGTAAATCGGTGAAATCGTTTATTTAAAAAATCAAATTAAATTTCTTTTTCAAGTTCAATTAGTATAAAATTCAGGAAAAATATTCAGTTAGGCTTCCGCTTTTCCAAATCCGAATTGCCGGGCCTTACGCTTGACCCCTGCCATCAGATTTTGTACAGCCACCTTGTCCACCTTCTTCGCCGCAGAAAGCCAGTTTGCCTTGAACTGCTGCTCGCCCTTAGCAGTTTTTTTGGTCTTCTTTAGGTTCCGCTTGACAATAGCCCAGTATTTCTCAATTGGGCGGAGCTCTGGCGTGTTGGGAGGGTTCTTGTCCTTGGGAACCACCTGCACGTTGTTGGCGGCGTACCACTCCATGGCCTTTTTACCGTAATGGCAAGATGCCAAATCCGGCCAAAACAGTACGGAACAACCGTGTTTCTTCAGGAAAGGCAGCAGACGTTTATTCAAACACTCTTTCACGTAAATTTCTTGGTTGACAGTCCCGGAAGCTATGAAAATGCTGCTTTTCAAGCCACAGGTACAGATGGCTTGCCAAACCAGATATTTCTTTGCGAACTTTGACAGTTTCATGTGCTTGAAAACATCTGCTACCTTTCCCCTTCCTTTTGCCGTATAAAACTCCTGTCCCGGAAGCTGCTTGTGGTCGGCTTTGACGTAGGTTTCGTCGTCCATTACCACGCAGTCAAACTTCGTCAGCATCGTCGTGTACAGCCTCCTAGATCGCGCTTTGGCCGTCGTATATTGTTTATCATCGCGATTTGGAGTCACTACCTTCTTGTAAGTCGATAGTCCGGCTCGTTTTTTGGCTCGATGCACGGTTGTAGACGATACACCTAGCTTATTTGCGGCATCTCGGAGAGAGAGGTTAGGGTTTCGCTTGAAACTACCGGCAACTCTCTTTGTCGTCTCAGCGGCTTCCGGTTTTCGATTTCCCCCCGATCCAGACTTCCTGGCTGTCGACAAACGTTCCCCAAACACTTTAATTACATTTGTAACGGTTGATTTGGCAACTTTTAGCGATTTTGCCAACTTTGTGTGCGAGTAGCTCGGATTTTCGCGATGCGCGAGCAAAATTTGGATACGCTGCTCTTCTTGCTTGGACGGCATTTTGACAACTGAAAAGTGAATTCCAAAATCAAAATAGGAGCAACATTCTACACACACACACCTTAAAAATGAGGGGTGTTCAGGTTTTTTAAATGCAAAATTGAAAGAAATACGTCAAGTTGATATTGACCAAATTTTGACCGTATCACCCTTTATATAAGCTTGATCAGAAATTCTTCCGAATTATCAGAAATGATATCTTAGCAGATCTCTGTACCTTTGAAATACGATCACTTCATTCGCAATTTGGCCCCCTCTATTTTGAAACCTGCTCTTTAAGAAGTTTCTTAAGGTATGAAACCAAAATTTATGGTTTCGAAAGTCTTCACAAAACATGAAATGTCTTCAATAAGCCTGCGGAAAATAAGCATGTTCCGAGTGTACCTTATTAAGCCTGGTACGCAGCTGAAAAGTAATGACGTTTTTATGTGCTACCGGATAGGACACGGAATGCAAAAGAAATTACTTTTCCTCAGCATTTCTTGACCCAGTACGCAGTTCAAAAGAAATCGGTAAAGGTAACATCGATTACATTAGTATCGTAAATGACATGAAGGTGGCGCATTCTGAATGCAATTTCACTTTCCTTGCGGAATAATGGTCTGATCAATTATTCCGTTAGGTAATGTTGGCGTTTATTGCAAAAGTGATGTTTTGGATGCATTTAAACAACATAAACACTAATAAGTGTTGATTTTACAATTTGACGACATCTCCCTATAATCTCAAAATTTAGCAGACTATAGCTGTCAAATTTTCTTTTGGGAAAAATCCTCAAAAATTACCAGGCTTAAAGCCTGGTACGCAGCTGAAAAGAAAACGGAAAAGTAATTTTTGAGGAATATTCCCAAAAGTAAATTTGACAGCTATTGGTAGGTGTCTTTTGCTAAATTTTGAGTTCGACCGTATGCCTAACGACCGTATGCCTAACATCCGTATGCCTAACGTCCGTATGCCTAACGTATTTATGCCTAAAGCCTGGTACGCAGCTGAAAAGTAATGACGTTTTTACATGCTACGGGATAGGACACGGAATGCTAAAGAAATTTCTTTTCCTTAGCATTTCTTGACCCAGTACGCAGTTCAAAAGAAATTGGTAAAGGAAAGATCGATTACATTAGTATCGTGATCGACATGAAGGTGGTGCATTCTGAATGTAATTTCATTTTGCTTGCGGAATAATGGTCTGACCAATTATTCCGTTAGGTAAGTTTAACGTTTGTTGTAAAAATGATGTTTTGGATGCATTGTAACAACATAAAAACTGATAATTGTTGATTTTAAAATTAGACGACACCCCCTATGATCTCAAAATTTACCAATAGCTGTCAAATTTACTTTTGGGAATATTCCTCAAAAATAACTTTTCCGTTTTCTTTTCAGCTGCGTACCAGGCAATAGGTCCTGTTCACGTTCGCAGTTGGTAAGGGTTGAACCAAATATATCATATTAACAATATTATCCATTCATGCCTTTTCCAAATATTGCAATGGCGACCCACAAAATATTGCTTCACGCACCATCTAGCGTTGAAAAAGGACAGCAACAATTGTTCAATTACTATCGAAGGGTGCGAATATATCACTTATTACAAAAGTAAGAGTCATATTATTTTCATTAATTACATTGTGTATGTTACTTTAAAATTTGGCTGACATGTCACTGTTGTCATCAAATAAAATAATGTGCTGAAAAACATTCATTTGAAATATTAAACAAATTTTCATTTGATTTACCCCTCGTAACGATAAACAAATACATTGGTAACCTTTTTGGCAACAGAGGTGCTTTCATCGCTAAAAAATTGGTTCGCCAGCTAAGCGAAAGAGTGGATCATATTGTTAATATAATATATTTGGTTGAACGAAGGTTATTAATCAGAGATGCAGGATAATTAATTCAATCAATTTAAGTGTCTCCGAGTTTCGCTGAGTCTTTGTGTTCTATAAATATGCTCTTTTTTAATGTTGTTTTGATTGACGGCAGCTTTTCGGCTTCGCATGAAGGTGCACCCTCATATGTTGCTGTGATGCGAAAAGTGAGAAAGCTAAGAACAGTGATCTTTCTCGCTAAACAATGTGAGTTACTCGAGGTGCATCAAAAGCAACTCAGAAATTGCTCATAATTAGGAGCTGTCTTGCCCCTAGGTGCGCGTTTTTGTTCATATTGTCTTAATATTAGGAATTAACTACTCAGAACTTTCTAAAATGGATTATTGGTCCATTTTAGAAGAAGATGATTTCGGACTATTCTTAAAATTAAGATCGAACAAAAACTTTAATTTTATAAGTCGATAATTTTTATAAATCGACTATCCCTTCAATTTAGATTTATGGAGATTTGACTGTATTTAATATAATAGAGTAGACCCCCGTAGAATCATCGATAAATTTAATAAATGCTTTAATTGAGAAATAGAAGCATTTCAACATTTCAATCCCATACGGCCATTTTTTTACAAGTTCTATAGACAATATTTTCGACGTAGTTATACATTAGTGTATTGAGTGACTTATGAGCGATCATAGTGAAAAATTAGCCATTCTTTCACAAAAGTGCTTTGGACCAGATCTTGTGTTGAGCTAATGAGTTGATCTTCTGCACAGTGACTACTGAGGCTTACAGAAAACGAATTATGGACGGGAAGCAACAATTTGAGAACATGATTGTTCTTGGTTCGTATCAATAATATTCTTCTCAAGTCACGTTCAATGCTAGGTTATTGCCAACGAGGTACGCAAGCATGTTGCGTGTTCATATCGCCATCATAGCTCTACCCCTCGTTTCATTCATGCTTCCTATGTCAGTCTGAGAGCTTCTATGCTCCCTGCGCATTTGAGGTAGGCTCACCCCACAGTCACACCACCCATGACAGAGAGCATACAACATATATACAACACATCCAACTGGCTATAATAATAGTAGAGAGAGCCGAACGAACGAGCGACGACTCTTTGGGAAGACATTTTGAAAGCGCAAGTCTCGAATCGGGACTGTCTTGTGTGCTCTCGCTCGCCTCTTTGCCAAACTGGTGTGGTGACGATGATTTTCATTGATCATTGCGACTGAACGAAACTAGCCAGAGCCAGAGCCAGCTATAGTGAGTGAGTGGACGACGAACACAGAGCGTGCGAAGGAGGAGTTGTGCATTCTTCTCGACCGAAGTAGGCGAATTTTTAGAACGGAAAGTCCTGTTTAACGTCTCCGGGAGATCATTTCCGCCCCGTTACGATCGTTGACCGTCCGAAGGTGGTCCGGAAGGGTTTAGTTGGTGCAGTTGCGACTGGTCGAAAGTCCAGGCCGTCCAGGGCGAAAATCCGAGCGTGAAAATTGTGTGAAAGATTTACGTTCCTCTCTCTGTGCTGTGCTGTGCATAGGTGTCTCGCTGTCTCTTTTTGGTCTTCGTGTTTTAGTGGTATCGTGCCGTTTCGCTCCGGCCTGTGGCAGCTCGAATCTTTTCTTTCGATAAGTCGGTTCCTCCGCGCGCGTCCACCCCCGCGTTTGTGGCCCCCTGGTGGGCTGTGTGTTATTTTACTTTTTTTTCCCATTCAGCAGTCCGCGGAGAAGAATAGTATGTGTTCAGTGCGTGCGTGCGTGTAGTGGTGGTGCTACTGCTACTGATGATCAGGGCACACACGAAGGAAGGAAAATAATATACATCGCAGGTTTTGGAATCCGATTTCCGAAAAGCCAAAAAGCAAAAAAAGAAACGCACAGGAAAAGTGTTTCGTGGTTGGAAATAGTTCTGGCGAAAGGATTCGATTTGGAATTAACAGTGTCCGTGACGAAACGCGAAGAATTGTCAGTTTACTAGAGTGCACCAGTGAACTAGGAAAGGTTTAATCAATCCTAGGAAGAAAATCTCAAGGCAGAGGTAGTATTAGTACAGGTGAACGAAGGAGGCAAGCAGAAGGCAAACGGAGGAGGAGAAGCAGCAGCAGCAGCAAAAAACAGGATGTATCTCAGAAGAATCTACATATCGACGATACTGTTGGCATGTTTTATGCTGACAGCACCGTGGTCCAGCGCCTTGGCACAGGATGAACAGGTATGTCACACTATTCTACCTCATTCTAGAAGGCAGGGTAATCAAAGGAGGCGGTCGGTGTGCGACGGTGGGCTCTATTCATTTTTTTTTTTTTATCGAGAAACTTTCCTACAAAATGCTGGCAAGGTGATCGAGAGCGGTCGTAGCAAGCGGGAGGGAAAGAGAGAAAAACCCAGCGCCGACTGGCTGGAGGAATCAAGGCAGTAAGAATGCTAATAACAATAATGTTAATAAAAACCTGAGGGAAGAAGAAGAAGAATGCTGGCAGGCAGAAGACCGAAGAAGGCAGTGTAGCAGCAGCAGCAGCAGCAGCAGCAAAATATGAATCGCTTTTTATCAATGTTGCCAGCTTTTATGGGTTTATGATGGTGTTGGCTCGAACGGGCGGGGGGTAGCCTTTTTGTGCATTATTTTGGTGCCAGAGGCTGTTCCGCTAATGATGTCACTTTTATTGTGCCTGGGTCTCTGTGCGGTGCAAAGCGACCGAACGAACGAACGAACGGCCGACCAACATCGCTATGAGAGGGTGTGACATCATTAGTGTTGTTTATTATCACTTTGGTGCGGTATCTCGGCGCCCGGCCTACCCGCCTGTAAAAGGATTTTCGGGCAGAGGAATGCCGTGACGTTGTTGTTTTTTGCTGCATTCCTGGGTAGTGGTTTGCAGGTTGTTCGGGCTATCCGCTATGAGCTTTAGATTTAGATTGCACTAGCTGTTGACCAAGGTTTTGACTGGATTTATTCATTTTGCAGATAAGCGCCACTCAAGTCTTATTACCGGTGTATAGAATTTCGGGAGCAAACTTCAGTTATAGAGGGATGAGTCTTTTTCAGGGACCACATGGACAGAAAAGGCATCACTAATCTCGACAACCGATATATGCTCGCGGTCCCCTGATGAACGCGTATCAAGTTATCGAAAACTATGCCGGTAATAAAAGTCTCCACAATGTAATGCAACCGTAGCGAATTGCCTGGGAAAGGATATACCCACACAAACAGCGCTGTATTATTTGGTTGTTCATGAAACAATGTTGGTTAGCATGAAATAATTTAAAATTATATTTATATTAGCCTAGTAGGGTTATCTTTCCTAAGCAAATAAATAAATGGTCAAGAAAATAAAGCGAATATTTGAGGGTTTTAAACTCATTGGAAGACTTAAGATGGTTTTTATTTCAAACGACCAAGAAATACTACCAAATGACTTCCAAACCTGAGCATTTCCAGGCCACATTTGAGCTGTTAAAACCAGGGTAGCCAGTGAACTGGAAAATCATGGAAAACCGAGAAATTATCCAACAAATTATTTAAAACATTTTTCATCGAAACTACAATTTATCTTCAAGATTAAGAATAATTTCGATACATTGCTCTTGTATCATGAAACCCACTTATAGCACTTTACAGCTCTTTGGACTAAATATCACTAAAACAATTTTCTTAATCAATTTAGAAAAAGTATAATAGCATTCTTTTTTGGTAATACCATTATTAACATATGACATGAAGGTCCCAGGTTTCGATAACACCTTGAATCTAGAGCTCAAACATATGAGTTATTGATTATATGATTACCTGGAACTGATTTTCAATCAGTGCCTCACCCAAGTAACAATTCAAGCTGAACAGTAAGAACAGAAGCTGATTATTGGTTGATTTAAGGTGTACAATGCTGAATAACAACAGGCTGAATATATAGTTGATAAGTAGTGCGTGAAGCTAATTGTATCCTCATAATTCAACCTCAATAAGTTAGCTGATCTAACGATTGAACAAGCCTTATTTTAGCTTAACACTACTCCACAAATCAGCAATGCACTACCAATATTTTGATAGCATGATTTGTTAAATGTAGTCATTTTAGTTCTTCCAAATTCACTGCCTACCTTTCTAATCCCAAGCAGCGGCAGCAGTAAAGACAAGGTAGAGGAGCTTTTAAGGAATAACTCCAGGTAGAAGTGGGCTGCGACAACGTCGGAAGCATTAACATTTGTATTTATGTGTTTTGACTGCTATATATTGTACTGAGTTTTCAGACAGAATTCCAAAAATATAACTCAATTATGGCACTAAAACACCTTCCACAGGGCGATCGAAATAAATCGCGCACTTATGTCCACATTATGTTAACTACACTTGAAAATGAGAGGAATGTTTTACTGTCACCAGTTGCTGTTTACAATTCTGCATTTCTGTATAATACTCTTCCGGTTGCTGTTATTCAACTTAAATTTGACGTGTTTCAAGTTAATGATCATACCTTTTGTCACATATATGCTTAAGTGGTTCAGTAGGTATGATTGATGCCTGTGAATCAGCGACTGCCGGTTCGAATCCCGAAATGCAAAGGTAATTTTTAGACTTATAATAACAATATAAATATGTAAATCCAACTAGTTAGTCAGCACCTAGTTACAGTCCCATAAAAATATATAAGATATGAAGGGGTCTTAATTTTTTTTTTCTAAATAAAACTAGAAGGCGAAGGCGAAGGCGAAGGTTGGAAAAGACTGTTATTTAATGCCTTAAAAACCTTATAATTTATATAACTGTTAAGCTTTTGGCTGATTAAAATCACCAGATTTAGATGTTTAAAAGCTGAACAAAGGTTAACGTGGTCTATGTACAACAATTATTAAAAAAAAGGCTGAATTAAAATCGATTGAACAACACTTGTTAAGCATCAAATTGTTACCTGTGTAGGCTTGGCTACTTTCTCTCGTGCTGGAAGTCTTCCAACAAACATTCAATGTTGAATAAGAGCTTATTCAGGGAAAACTGAACTTTTTCAGCTAAAAAATGATTTTATTCAGCTGTTAATCAACTCAAATTGTTTATTGGGTAGCTAAAGTCATACCAATTTGGAAACCTGGGAAGAATCCTTCTTCTCCTTCCAGCTACAGACCTATCATCCGTTTCTCAGGGTTATCAAAGCTCCTTGAAAAGGCGATATACCGGTGTCTTCTTACATCTGCTGACGAAAATAATATCTTACTTGAGGAGCAGTTTGGTTTTCGACAAGGTCGGTCGACTATTCACCAACTGACTAGATGTCTGCCATGGCATTATTGTTAGACGTTGAAAAAGGGTTTGATAATGTCTGACATGATGGCCTCGTGTACAAACTACAACGATGCGATCTTCAAAGCTTCCTCGTGAAGATCATCCAAAATTATCTATCAGACAGGACATTCCAAGTCTCTATCAATAATGGCATCGCCTGTGATGCCTTCAAAATTCCGTATCAACGTGGCGAAGACCCAGGTCATCAGATTTCCACATTCCCAATCACCGAGTCTTGTTCCGTCTGAAAATAACAGGATCTATTTAAACGGCTCAGTGGTGGAATGGTACAAAGAGGTTGTGTACCTCGGACTAACACTAGACAGCAAGCTTCTTTCTAGGGAGCACATTGACAAAACTAACACCAAGTGTATCGTATTGATAAGATCACTGTATCCGCTTATCAACAGGAAGTCCACCTTACCCCTGAAAAATAAGCTTGCTGCCTATAAACAACTAATCCTACGTTCAACATGAAGCTTTAGTGTGATAATTTATTAGCTAGAGAACGGTCTGAAGAGGGTAGGTTGATAGTTCCGCTAGTGTACGGCAGTATGAAAATTGAATAGAAGTTGAAAATGAGCGAAGGGCCATTAATGCGACAGTACTATTCAAACGCATTCTTCTTTACCTAACTCATACATTAATGGATGAGGAGACTTGAAGTATTTCTTCAAATCGACAGGCAATACTTCTGTTCTAACTGTCATTCAAACGCCCCTCGGTTGCTGCGATGGGTAAAAAAGCTACGAAGAGAGAACGACGACGAACAGCAGCGAAGTTTTACTTTTAGCATTCTACTGCAGAAGAGATAGTTGTCATTTAGACGGAAGAGAATAAAGTAGTAGATAGTAGCACTGAGTTTTAGTTGGTTCCGTTCCCAAGATCCGAAGTGTCATAGTGGGTGACCGTCGTGTTCCGCCGTTTCGGATTGTATAGTGCCACAGTGTGTGGAACCGTATTGCCTTTACGTCGGTTTGGTCACAGAGTCACAGTGTGTGGCTGCAGTGCAATCTTGTCGAAGAGATTACAGTCCCGCCTCGTTTTTCCGTTACAGTCCCGAACAACTTCTCTCTGTTAAACTGTTGAAGTAAGTCTTCTACGAGACTAATTTTTAATCAGATTCTTCCAGCATAAAAAGGCACTTGGCCAGCACGATCATATCGGACTCTATCTCTAAGAGTTCCGCGAAATAATGTGACAAAATACCAAGTACAAGACATTACCAGATCACCAACAATCTATACTAGTGGGAGAAGGGTACTGTTCATGGACATACTACAGTTTTGATACTTTGTCAGGCATATCCTGAATGCTTGTCATATAATAAATAAAAGTATACTAAACGTTCGATTGCTGAAAGGGACTATTTGAATATTTTACAGGCAAATGATCAACCGGCAGCTTATTTCTTAAAATGCTTTTTAAGTTAGCGAACAATGTAACTTTAAATTAATGTCTCTATTGAGAATGGAAACGATTGATCTCAAACCGAAATAGTAACAGGCGAAAGTTTCCTACGGCTAGTCTTGCTTTCTACTGGAACATGACAAACGAATCAGGCTGGATACCGTCAACAGTATCACTAGAGGACAAGCTTGGCGAGCAATGTTTGATTTTGCAGACAGAATGGGAAAGATTAAAAAATAAAAGTCTTCGAAAATATCAACATTAGACTCATCACTTTCCGCGTGACATAAAGGCTGACTAAAAGTAAATTGGTACGAACCTTGTGCGCCGCTAGCACGCCTCCAGCAACCGGTGGAAGCTAACGATTTTCTCTACTTGACTAGCCTATAGGTCCCAAGCAAATCGATGAACGTACCCCATTCCAGTCGAAATTCTAGTACTACACTATGTTTGTTTTGATTCGCTATGAAAGTTTGACAGCTAAAATGAGTGGCTCGTGGATTTTACTGTATCGAGGGGTGCAT